ACCACCAGGGAACCATATATATATATATATATATATATATATGCTTCACTGGTTTTGCTTCTCTAGAGACCCCAGCCAAAGACAGGCAGTTTTCAGTAAGTCGAGGACTGGGGCAGAGATGATGAAAGAGCTCCATATAAGATGGACCAAGAGGTGATCCCTCCGATGGCAAGGATCCCTGCCTGGTAGGAGCATTTGTGCATTAGGCAGTTGGAGGTATACACTGAGAGTTATAAAACTATCTGAACTAAGGTTGTAAAACATAGAACTGTGCCCTGGATCAGTTTAATAGTGTCTGAGAAATGGTAGCTTATTCTTCCCCCTTACCAGTTCTCTCCTTAGCCCTGAGTTTTTTGTTGAGGTCAGCTGAGGTCTGCTTATTTTTTGAGTGCCTGCTCTGTACCAGGCATTGGGGATAGACTTGGTCATTGTCTTCCTGCACTTAAGGGCTATTGGGATATGCATTTATTAAATGGGTAATTATGTAAAGTGTGATAAGTGCTTTGGTAGAATAAAATCAGTATTCTGTGGAAGTACATGACAGAAGTACCTAACCTGGTGTGGTGAGATGGATTGATTTCTCGGCATGATCTTGTAACTCCTACCAAATGAATGGGTGGGACTATGCAAATAAAGGAGCCCTAGTGGTGGAGTGGTTAAGCTCTAGGCTGCTAACCAAAAGGTCAGCAGTTCGAATCTACAAGCCACTCCTTGGAAACCCTATGGGGGAAGTTCCACTCTGTCCTATAGGGTTGCTATGAGTTAGAATCGACTCGACAGCAACATTTTTATGCAAATATGGTATGTGGCCCACCAATGGGATTGGACAGCTCACTAATAATGCAGATAAGGTGCATGGTATCCTTGTGGGGTGGAACCATGCAAATAAGTTGTGTGGAACACTAACGAGGAAATAGGTCAGTTTTGGCATGCTGCTAGGCTTAAAAGGAGCCATCCCATAGGTGGAAACAGGGGACCACACTACACCAAGAAGAAGAAATGTGAGTGGAGCGCATCCTTCTTGGAGCCAGGGTCCCTACACTGAGAACCTCCTATACCCAGGAGACAGAGAGAGCTGTAACACTGGAGATGGCACAAAACAGCAAGAAGCAGCTGCAGAGAAGTGGCGGCAGCAGAATCAGGAGACCAATGCAAAATGGCACAGTGAGTTTCCTTGCCATGGAGTAAGGCGGTTATGGTGGGTTATGACCCACAGAACGAGAGAGCTGAGTGCCTTGGGAAGGAGGCTTCCTGGCAGAGTAGGGTGGCTCCAGGCATTTGTTCACAGAGCTAAGGTTGCCGACCCATGGGACAAGAGAGCTGAGCGCCTTCAGGTCGAGGCTTGCTGGTGGAGTATGGTGCCTTTGGGCACTTATTGGCCAAGCTAAAGTGCTTTGTAACACTTGCCCAAGCAGGGCAGAGGCCAGGCCAAGGGGCAGAAGGGCCAAGGGCCAGAGAGAGGCCTGCCTGTGGGCATGACTGAGAAGAGGCTGTCCTGATTAAAGAACTGTATTCTGAGTTGTCCCTGATCCTGAATTGTAAACTGTCACTTCCCTAACAAACCCCAAAACCGTGAGTATGGTCTGTGAGTTCTGTGTAGCCATTGCAATGGATTGTCAAAACCAGCAGAGAAGTAATTATCGCTGTGGGAGGGACAGCTGGTGTCAGAACTGGCAAAAAGATTGGAGGTATGTCTGACCTCTGCCTCATAGGAATCAGCTTTGGACTGTTGATGCTAATAATGATTCTCTGTCCTTTATATTGTGAGGCTAGACTAGGAGGTCAGATGCCTCACACCACCATTTTTATGCCTGGTCTATTGGCCACTACAGGCTTCCTGGATGTGATGACATCTCAGTTGAGACCTAATAAGTGGATAGAGGTTAGCCAGGTCAAGGGGAGAGGGGAAGAGAACAACATTATAGGCAGAAGTTATTGCACGTACAATGTCGTGAAGATAATAGAATCTGGAGATGTCCTTTCATCAGTGCTCTTCTCTCTGGCAGGAATTGGTTCTCATAGAATTAGTATACACAGGAGAATTAGCGTGATGGAAGACTCTAGTGTGACCTATGGAATTGGGCATGTGTACACCAAGAAAAGACTACATATTGGAGGCTAAAGAGACAGCGGGGGCTGGGAGTGTTTGGGTCCTATGACCCTGGGATTCAGGGAATGGGAAAGTCACATGAATACAAGGATGGGAGGTCTGCCTTCCCAGGCACCTCCATTCTGCATCCTTCCCCCATCATCAGGCTCATAGACTCTGAAGTTACTTGAGGGCAATAAATATTTGTCAAATTACCCCCACAGATTCCTCAAAACTGTAAATTCTCTGCTAATTTTTATCTTGGCAATTTTAATTACCCAAAATTAATTGCTGGGGACAATTAATGCCTAGGAGTAAAGTTTGTTTCCTCTTCTAAGATGTCCTGATTTCCCTTCCAGATAGTGCCATTTCTGAAAAAGAGCTGGTAATCACAGTTGTTATGGGTAAAAAGGGAGGTGGAAATAGGGGTGGCAATCTTTGTTGTTGTTTTTTAATTGTGCTTTAGGTGAAAGTTTACAGCTCAAGTTAATTTTCCATACAGAAATTTATACACATATTGTTATGTGACATTAGTTGCAATCCCTATAATGTGACAGCACACTCTCCCTTTTCACTCTGGGTTTCTTGTGTCCATTCAATCTGTTCCTGTCCCTTCCTGCCTTCTCATCTTGCCTCCAGACAGGAGCCACCCATTTGGTCTCGTGTATCTGCTTGAACTAAGAAGCACACTCTTCACAGGTATTATGTTTTGTAGCCCAGTCTAATGTTTGAAGAGTAGGCTTTGGGCATGGTTTTAGTTCTGGGTTAACAGAGCATCCAGGGGCCATGGCTTCAGGGGTTCCTCCAGTCTCAGTCGGAACATTAAGTCTGGTTTTTTTTTTTTTTACTGGAATTTGAGTTCTGCTCTGCACTTTTCTCCCATTCCACCAGGGACTCTCTGTTGTTTTCCCTGTCAGGGCGGTCATTGGTGGTAGCCAGGCACCATCTAGTTCTGGTCTCAGGCTGATGAAGTCTCTGGTTTATGTGGCCTTTTGGTCTCTTGGGATAATATTTTCCTTGTGTCTTTGGTGTTCTTCATTCTCCTCTGCTCCAAGTGGGCTGGGACCAATTGATGCATCTTAGATGGCTACTCGCAAGCTTTTAAGACCCCAGACACCACTCACCCAAGTGGGATGCAGAACATTTTAATAAATTTTGTTACGCCAGCTGACCTAGATCTCCCCTGAAAGGGATGGCAGTCTTTGTGTCCAAAAGATGTGAGACTATCATTGAGTTCAGATAATCAGAACTCTAAAACCATCTGCAAATGGATGGTGAGTTGCTTTTTCCTATAGCTGACAATCAGATGATTTCATGTTGTTAAAGGGAGTCCCTGGGTGGCACCAATGGTTAAACACTGGACTACAAACCTAAAGTTTGGTGGTTCAAACCCATTCAGAGGTACCTCGGAAGACAGGCCTGGTGATCTGCTTCCAAAAGGTCACAGCCTTGAAAATCCTATAGAGCAATTCTGCTTTGCACACTTGGCGTCATCATAAGTCAGAATCAACTTGACAGCAACAATAACATTTAATAATTATTTTTTCCATAATTGTAAATTGATTGTAAATGTTGCTAATACAGAAAATGAGAAAGCATAAATCACCCACAATGCTGCTATCCATAGAAATATTCTTAACATTTTTGGAATAATATTTTTTTTTCCAATCTTAATATTTTTGGTAAAAATCTTGTTTGGTAAATCATTATTCGTAACTGATTTTTACCATTTATACTCTGAGTATAAACTTCAACTGGTTTAGTGTTAGAATGTAATGCAAGATATATTGTAATAAAATTTGAGTTTTAAAGTTTTGCTTTGAAATTATTCATTCATTCATGAGTAGGGAACACAATAACATGAGTGGAGATGTGCTAAGAGAATGGGGAAGAATTTGTGGGAAGAAATCAAGAAATTAGTGTTCTCAGCTTTTATTCCCCGGGCCAAAAACTGTCAGGAAACTATGACACTTGCAGCACTAGCTGAAGTCAAAAATTGATGGGGCACCATGGGAATGAGAGCAAGAAGTAGTCTCTTTAAACACATACGCATCATGTGTCCACCAGAATCAGGACCCATCCTCCCCTTCAGGAGGGGTCCATGTCACACCAGATGGATATCCTCAGCACTAACTGCCAAGGACCAAGCTTAGGCCTGGGGAATGGGCAAGCAGGGCTTCAAACCGGTTCTTCTTGATTCAGTCATGGCTGACGAAGTGACACCAGAAGAGACCTGAATTGGTACAATTTGGGTGATCCGGAATGGGAAAAATTACAGGTCGAAGCCCTGCTAGAAACTTAATCTACCTCTTAGAAAACAAGGGCTCCATATGCATTGTATAGCAACCAAATCTCTTGTCCCTGGGGTTTTGAGGAGAGTCAGAAACAGTGGTGCTCTGCTCAAACATGGCAGCCAACCGCACTGCTTTCTGTGTAGCTCTCCCCAGTCCTGGCAATAATCCAATCTCACGCATCAGGGTCCTGAAAGGGGTCTCTATGCCTCTTCCGAGTCTCCCATTTTAGGGCTTCAATTCATAATTTTTCCCAATCCAGTTACTGATCTAGATCACCCAAATTGTAACAGTTCTGGTCTATTCTGCTTTCACTTCGTCAGCCATGGCTGAACTGGTTCAAACTGGTTTGAAGCCCTGGGGGCAAGAGCCTGGGAGACTGCCATGGCCTTTCCCTTATCTCAGCAGGTTCTCAATAGAAACGTGTTAAAAAAAAAAAAAAAAAAACCCTGACCCTTTGGATCTTTGCACTGTTTGATGATCACTTTTGCTATCTTATCCAACATGGCAGCTGTGAATGATAAAGCTACTGAACAGCATTCTCTGGTTCTGGCCCATCAGAAAGCAAGGGGTGGACGGGTTTAAGTAGGGCCTGCCCATTGAGCTCACCCTTGCTCTTGACATCACAGAAATGTTCTCCAAGTCAGGGATGGGAGGTTTCTCTAACTGGCAATTTCCCTTGCTCTGCCAACATGCAGAGGATGCACTCTCTGAGGCAAGAGAAGCAAAGATGTTCACAGGGGAGCTTTGAGAGGCAAATGTCAGATTTGCTTTAAATATCCAGTCCTCTCAGCTGGACAGTGTTAGTTACAGCCTATGAGGAGGGAGAAGGGGAGATGTAGGAAACTGAGATTTATTAAACGCCTTGCCTAAACTGCACGTTATTTTTTTAAATCAGTACAAAATCCATTAAGGCAAACATTCTTACCCCCTGAACTGCCTTTGTATGGAGAGAAACAAGAGGGCCCTGAGCAAAAGGGAAAGGTATGAATTGCTTTTCTTCCACACAAGGCTGGTGAAGGAGAAAACAATTACCTTTGATATCCACCTCACATCAGTACCCTAGTTCATAATAGCATAGACTGTTGAATTTTTTCCATAATAGATCATCTACTTCAGCTGTTTAAATTGAGGGTTCAAAGCTGTAAGGTGCCTTGCTAATGGCTGCACAATTCATGGCAAACGGCTAACAAGAACAACGGTCTCTACTTCAACACTATTGCTTTTCTCAATCATAAATCTCTTCCATACAAATAACTTATATTTACACTGGGATTTATAACTCGCAGAGGACTTTTTTTGTATACCATGTATGAGATGGGTGAGTCTGCCATGTCATTTTATCAATGAAGAAATTGAGGATCAGAGTCCATTAATGGCACAGAGATGTTATGGAAAGCAAATACTTTTCTTATATTTTCTCGACTAGGCTTCCATTCCTTTTTTTTTTCTTTTAATCCTAAGAGTATTAGATATTTATTATACAAAATTGGAAAATACAGAAAAATAAAAAGTTAAATCACCTATTATCTCATCATCCAGAGATAACCACTACAGCATTTTGAGATTATGTATTTCCAGTATTTTTAATATGTAAATATATTTCAACCTGGGATTGTATTATACATACCATCTTGTAATATTTTTTACTTAACAATATATCATGAATGCTTTGTCATTTAATATTGACATCACTTTTAACAGCTCTTAAGACTCTGTGTACATTCATAATGATTTCTGAAGTATACATTTCCAGGTACAGTTTCAAAGTTAAAAGGCAATGCTTAAGGCTTCTGGTATTGATTGCCAGAAATCGTATCTATTCACCACTCACCAGCAGTATTAGAGTTCTAGTTTCCCTAGATCTTTTGTCAGTTTTAGGGAAAAAAGTGCCATCTCAACTGTTACTTTAGTATAATTTTTAATTCAAGTGATGTTGAACATTTATTTCCTGTCCATTGATACTTATTCTTCTGTGATTTCCCTATTTTAGCATCATTTTTTTCCTATTCAGACTTCTTCAGGGAGAGACAGTATAGAGAAGTGGCTCCACAGAAAGGTTCTGGATTCCTACTGCTTGGATTCAAAGTTTGACCTCCAGGTCATGACCCCAAGCCTTCATTTCCTCATCTGCAAAGTACGAGCTGAAGTTAGAAATAGCTAACGCATACATACAAAGCCCTTAGCCAGTACTTATTACATTTATTGATATATGTCAGAACTCTATACATAAAGAGCATTTCCCTTATGTTATTCCTACTCCACCACTTACCTCTCAGTTAAATTGTGCTTAATTAACACTTAATTGTGCTCATGCAGAACCTGTACATAGTCCAAGGGGCAGTTATTCAAACAGAACAAGGGAATACTACATGGTTTAAAATCAGGAAAGGTATGTGTCAGGGTTGCCTCCTTTCACTATAATTATTCAATCTGTATGCTGAGCAAATAATCTGAGCAGCTAAACTATATGAAGAATGCAGCATCAGAACTGGAGGAAGACTCATTAACAACCTGTGATATGCAAATGACACAACCTTGCTTCCACAAAGTGAAGAGGACTTGAAGCACTTATGGTTGAAGATCAAAGACCACAGCCTTCAGTATAGATTACAACTTAACATAAAGAACACAAAATTCCTCACAACTGGACCAATAAGCAACATCATGATAAATGGAGAAAATATTGAAGTTGTCAAGGATTTCATTTTACTTAGATCCACGATCAACACCCATGTAAGCAGCAGTCAAGAAATCAGATTTCTTTTGCATTAGACAAATTGCATTGGGCAAATCTACTGCATAAGACCTCTTTAAAGTGTTCAAAAGTAAAGACACCACTTTGAGAACTAAGGTGAACCTGACTCAAGCCATAGTATTTTCAATCACCTCATATGCATGGGAAAGCTGGGAATAAGGAAGACCAAAGAACTGATGCCTTTGAATTATGGTGTTGGCGAAGAATACTGAATATACCATGGAATGCCAGAACGAACAAATCTGTCTTGGAAGAAGTACAGTCAGCATGGTTCTCAGAAACAGAGATGGCGAGATTTTGTCTCACGTACTTTGGACATTATCTGGAGGGACCAGTCACTGGAGGACATCATGCTTGATAAAGAGGGTTAGTGAAAAAGAAGCCCTCAACGAGATGGACTGACACAGTGGCTGCAACACTGCGCTCAAACAGAGCAACGATTGTGAGGATGGCGCAGGACCAGGCAGTATTTCATCATGCTATACACAGAGTTGTTATATGAGTTGCAAATGACTCGGCAGCACTTACAAGTTATTCCTACTCAATGTCTGTCCTACCCTTTTCAGTTTCCTTGGGTCTTTCTCTGTGGAAAAGGAGGAAAATGAGTTTAGTAGCTCCTACCATACATTTTGTTACATTTTATCATCTTTTCCAAGTGATACTATCTTTTTTTTTTTTTTTCATTCTCTCCCCAGACAGGGGCATTCAGCCCTTCTGCCATTCTTACGGTTTGTGGATACCTAACAATGTACCAACAGAAGCATTACTTCTCTGTTTCTTTTTATCATCATGACAACTCTTTCTCTATAGTCAGGATTCAAAATTTCCCTACAGATTCGGTTTTGGAATAACAAAGTTTGTACTATCAGGTCTTTTAAATGATGTATCTTTCTGTTGCCGACTATCCTGTACAATTTCACCTTGAACTGAGAAGTACCTTCCTGCTGGTCCCTCAGAGGAGGAAAATCTCTGGATCACCATGACTATTACTTTCCGTTGTCACTTCCCTTTAGCATTGTCTTTAACAAAATTCACAAGAGATACGTGAAATACTGGTGACATTAACTCAAAACTGAACGTATGTGCAGTGCCTGAAGAATATCACTCATAAACCCCAAGAGAAACAAACATATTTTGAGCACCTGAGCCCCAGGGTGTACTAGGAACTGTGTGATACAGCCCCAGAAACAAATGATATGGCAACCATAGCAGTTTCTAACCTATAGCCTTGGGAGTTAGGAGAAATCTGATAGCAGTTCTGATACTTAGGAAAGAAGGGAGCCCTCATGTTTAGGAAAGGAGACTTAGACCTTTGTATCTTAGCCTCTAAGCTTGCTCTTTGTCAGCCCACCCCCCCACCCCCATCCCCATGTTAAGTTCTAGCCTAGCCTACAGGTTTGGCAAGGAAAGTAGGTATAAACCCTTTCCCTGGGGTCACACTAGACCAAGACAAAGCTCCTCACCACCTCATGGTCCAAGGGCTCTTGGTTTTACTGTATTAACAGAAACTTCTCTATCGGCCCATATTATGATACAGGCACTACTTAAAAGATTCTGGCACCATCCCTCTCTTAAACATGACCCCACTGCAAAAGAACTTCATACAAAGTGGCCTTATATTTTTACTTTGCAGATGTGCCACTTTCTCTTCCTAGGCTTTGTTCCTTCTGTTTGTTGGGAAAAGTCTTCCCTGGCCTACCCCATGGCTAACTCCTACTCATCCTCAAGACGTTTTTCCAAGAAGCGTTCCCTGATCCAAGCCTGGGACAGATGCTTCTCCTTTGAGTCACAGCACTGATCACACTGTAGTGTCCTTGCTTGCCTGACTGCCCTTTCCATTAGACTGTAGAGTATGTTTCATTTTCCGTTGTATCCCTAGTGCCTGGCAGACACTGAATTAATTTGTGTTTTTTCTTCTCACTCCTAGTTTCTGGCCTTCCCTGGGCTAGACAAATAATCGATGAGACCCTGTTTCTCCATCTTTGTTGTTGCCGTGTCACTGTACTTATTTGGGATATTAAAATGTTTTTTGAGATCCTGAGAGTGACAAAAAATCCCTCATGCTGTCCACATCATCCCAGCCCTGGCACACTGACAATAAGATATAGCAATGCAGTCTGGGTCACTGTAATCTTTTTCATGATATTCTGATGGAAAGTGAGGTTTCAATGTTACATTCCTATTTCCTGAGTATTCTTAATGGTAATAAAAAAGCTGAAACTAATGGCTCTCCCAGCTGTCATTCTCATTAGTCACAGAAAAAGCTTTTAAGGGTCAACTTTCATTAGCACTGGGAAGAGCTACACGTCGCAAGTTAGACTGAGTGAAGACCTAGTAGTTTACAACCTTTATGGAACTTTGCTCCAAAGTAAACGCTTTCGACTAACAGACAAGAAATCTGACCAAAATATTTACAATAGTGATCGTATTCATAAGTTACTCTACAGTGTGGACTCTCTGATGTCGCACAAGGACTGATCGGTGCCTGAAAGCTTTCCCGCACTCACTACATATATAAGCTTCATCCCCAGAGTGAATTCTCTGATGCTGAGTAAGGGCTGAGCTCCTTTTGAAGGTTTTGCCACATTCATTACACTGATAAGGTTCCTCTCCACTGTGAATTCTCTGATGTCTGATGAGGTTTGAGCTCAAACTGAAGGCTTTTCCACATTCATTACATTCATAGGGTTTCTCTCCACTGTGTATCCTCTGATGGGTAATCAGCTCTGAGCTCTGCCTGAAAGCTTTTCCACATTCGTTACATTCATAAGGTCTCTCTCCTGTATGTATTCGCTGATGTCTAATAAGCTTTGAGCTTTGACTAAAGGTTTTCCCACACTCATTACATTCATACGGTTTCTCACCAGTGTGAATTCTTTGATGTATAATCAGATATGAACTTTGACTGAATGCTTTGCCACATTCATTACATTTACAAGCTTTCTCACCAGTATGAATCTTCCGATGTCTAATAAGGGCTGAGCTCTGATTGAAGGCTTTCCCACATTCACTGCATTCATATGCTTTCTCCCCACTATGAATCCTCTGATGAATAATAAGATATGACCTCAAACTAAAGGCCTTCCCACATTGGTTACACTTGTAGGGCTTTTCTCCAGTATGGATTCTTTGATGCTGTGTTAGAGAGGAATGCTGTTTGAAGCTGTGCCCACACACATCACACTTATAAGGTCTCTCTTCTGTATGAACTTTCTGATATGTTACAGAGTTTGTACTTAGACTCAACCTTTTTTGAGGATTATCATGATGGTCTCTTTTTCCTAGAGATTCGTGTGTGAAGATCACTTGACTAAAACTGTCTCCTTGGGAAGGGGATCTTAATTTCCCCCCTGGAGCACTTCCTTGCTGCCACTCTAAAGGATTCTCATCTTCACTAACTTCTCCAAACGAAGGTTTCAGGGGAAGTCTCTGAGATTTTTGCCCAAAAATTTCCTCCCTTGTTGCTGATTCATTGTTCTCACAATCTGAAATGAAAAATAGCAACAGATTTTACATTTCTCCACTCACTCTCAATATTCACCCTCTACTTGAGAGAAAATAGAAGCTTCTACCTCCAAGACGTCACTGTTCATATATCTTTTCTTTAACTGACTATACTATGGTCTCTCCTCCTTTCTAATGTTAAGGCCTCCATCTACACTACGAGGTCAGTTGATCAATTACCAATTGCTTCTTTCCTATTATTTTTAACCTCTTTCTCTGACTCCTGTTCATCAGCATATAAAGTTCCTTGCCCACATATCTCCTTAAAGCAACCTCACTCACTCCCATTCAAAGTAAAGCTTCTTCAAAGGGTTGTCTGTACTCATCCCCATTCTGCAATCTGGTTTCTGCCTTCCTCTGCTTTACTTCCACTGATACTGTTCTCATCAAGGTCACCAGCTTCATAGCTGCTTAATCCAATGGATATTTTCTTATTTAGTTGGTCTCTCTGCAGCATTTGACTTTGGCGAAACTGCCTTCCTTCTAGAGATGTTCTCTTCCAGCAACACTGGCTTGATTTCTGTGCTGTTCCTTGTTTTCAGGCCCAGTCACTCAAACATTAGTGTTCCTCAGGATTGTGTTATGGGCTCTCATGAATCCACTCTACAAACTACCCCCTTAGCTTCAATCACTACTATAAACTAGTGTCTTCCCAGGTCTCCAACTCTATCCCATCTCTCTCTATTGAGCTCTAGACTCTCATATCCAACTGCTAACTGGGCATTTTATTCATATTTTACAAGCATCAAAATGTCCCAAACACATCATCATATATGTTTTCTCTTACGTTTTCCTATTTACTTCAATTGTTATTGTTAGTCGCTGTCAAGTTGATTCTGACTCACGGTGACCCCATATATGTCAGAGAATTGTGCTCCATCGGGTTTTCTGGAAGCAGACTACCAGCCAGGCTTGTCTTCCAATGTGCCTCTGGGTGGGTTTGAACTGCCAACCTTTGGCTAGTAGTACAGCACTTAATCGCCTGCGCCATGCAGGGACTCCATGTACATGAATAGCACCACCATTAAGCAGATGGCTCAAGACTGAAAGATTGAGTTATCAGTCTCAAACTCCTTTCCCTCAGCCTCCACTCTTAGCAATCCGTCTGTCTTAGTGTAGAAGCTCTGCTGAAATCTCTTCAGAATCATTGCAACACACTGCCTCCACTGACAGATGGGTGATGGCTGCGCTTGAGGTACACTAACTGGGAATCGAACTCTGGTTTCCCGCACACATCACAAAAGAATTCTAACACTGAACCACGACTACCTAGTGCCTACTTTTATTCTATAACTTACTACACTATGTTGCAATGCTTTGTTGCTCATCCACTACCCTACCCAGACCTGAAAGCTCCTTGAAGATAGGGATCCAGTGCCTAGCACAGTAATGGACACGTATTAGCACTCTAGTAAATTGTAAACTGAGAAATGAGTAAGTGAACGAATGACAGGTAAACTGACAAAGGAGGGCTGACTGCAATTTATCAGGGTTATTGGAAACAAGGATGATAAAGTGAGCACCTCTGGCCTAAAATAATAAAGTGATGCTCACATAGCATAAAGGTGATGTAGCAAGCTTACAAAATGCAATTAATCCTGCACCCTCAAAACCAGAGGCCTAATTAATGAAAGTCTCCAGATGATTTTCTATTCCTCACCACTTCTGTGGGAAAGGCAAGGTTCCCAGGATTTCAGCTGTGTCTTTAAAGGCTGGAGCTGGACGTTTGTTGACTCTTGGGACGCTCCAAGAAATGTCAAATCCTTCCATGGCACTGCTGGACCCTGTGGACTAGCAGGAACCTAAAGTCAATAAAATATGATTAGCTCAGTGAGAATAACCCTGGGAAACTGGTGAGTAAAAATCTCAGAGAAGAGTGCAACAAGGACATCCCCAGGGACGAGGGATGGGGGAAAAAACATTTAAGGGTAGAGACTTATACTGTCCCAAGCAGTCACTTCAGGGTTATGGTTCAATAACAACAAATTTTCATCCTATTGTTATGATGATACCACATGCTCCAGCCTGGAAATTCCTTCTCCCGTAACACATCACATCTCCCTGTTCCCACCTGTTGCCCTGGATCATCAAACTCTCTCTCCAAATCCTCCAACAGGGTCACAGCTTCCTCGCCACTTTTTGGACTCTGTTGCTGAACCCAGACCCGCAGCTCCTCAGGCAGGATGCTCAAGAACTGTTCCAACACCAGCAGTTCCAGGATCTGTTCCTTTGTGTGCAACTCTGGCATCAGCCACCGATAGCAAAGCTGCTGGAGTCGGCCCAGAGCCTCCCGAGGCCCAGGTGTCTCCTTGTAGCAAAACTTTCTGAATTGCTGGCGAAATATTTCTTGGCAGGATTGGGCACTCCCATCCTGTTTAGATTTCTGACCCCAGGAAAGGCCTTCTTCTACTTTCACTACTATTAGTTCTTGTTCCTGAGGATCCTGAGTTACTGGGTTTGAAAGTACTCTGGATTCCACAGCCATTCTAGGCTGAAACAGCTTATCAAAAAGCTCACTACAACTGGGATCTGTGCTTCATAGTTTCCTTTAGCATTTCTTCATTCAAAGGCTTTCCTAGAGGATACAAAAGCATTGTTAACTTATAGCAGTGAAAAAATTTGTAGGAACTCATAAATTAAATCTATCACTCCCGTAATTTATTGAAAGGGAGCAGATTTTAGACTGTATCTAAATAAACTATAATCAAATAAGAGACTAAAAATCAGTCGCCTTGTTCAGTGTTGTCCCTTTTGTAGAATTCCTACCACTAATGCTTTAAGACATGACTTTAGAAGTAAAAGAACACAACGCGAACATTAATCCCATAGTGAGAAAATTATTTCCTTTTCAATTCTCTTTCAAGCCTGATTTCATCAAGGGGAAAAATTTGGGGTGCTAGTGTGTGTTTAACAAGTCTGTAAACATGCAGAATTCCATTTTTAATAGACAAAGTACAGGCTTCAGATTCCGAGGGCAACAGTATCTAGAAATTAATAATACTGACTTCCAAATATTTTATTTTTAGCTACTTTCTATCTATGACAAGTGATGTTGCTATTCATTTAAGGTAGTAATAAAACATTTTTAAAATTGACATTAAAACATTAGTTGGCGTAAATAAAAATATTATCCAATATTTGCTTGCTGATCCAATTTGGGATTCAGTGAATTCCTTCAATCAACACTGAGGTACTCACTCTGGGCTCTGTCCTTTGTGGGGCACTAAGATACAAAGGTCCTTGCTCAGGGAATAAATTAGTCTACGAAGGAATTAAATATTTGTTAAATGCTTACCAAGTATTCAAAACATGTTAAATATCATAAAGAGACCCAAAAGGAGTAAGATGAACAAGCTCAGCCCTCAAAAAGCGAGAAGATACTGGGGATAAAAAATTTAAAAGTGAAACATGGCAATAATCATGTAGATATGTTGTGGTACAGAGCAAACATGATCTCATTTTAGGATAGGAGTATAGCGATAGGAGAACCCCTAAACCAGTCAGCAGGACAGATGAGTAAAATTAAACCCTAACATTACGGTTAACCTAAGAGACTGACCACAATATTTATGCGACAAATCTGTGACTAATTTACCAGCTTGGCTACACTAACCTTTCTATATTTATATCCTCAGTTAAACCAGCGCGTTTGCAAAGTCACCGAGGTGGGGAATAACTGTTTTCTGCCGGAAAGCAGAGGATTGAGTGCCGGCGTCCTCTCCGTTCCCAAACAGCCACGACCCCGGGGCGGCCAGGTCGAGGGGCGGGACTCCTTCACCCTGCGCCCAACGCTCCGGCAGCGCAACCTCCCCGTCCTCCCTCGCCTCAGGGCCCGCGTCCCTCACCGCGAAGCCCTGGGGTAGACAAGGAGACCGCCACCGACCTAGAGCGCGGAGCCACAAAGACCGGAAATACGCGCCGTGACCTTCCGCTCTCGCGCCAGGCTGTTGTGCCCTCCCGAGCCTCCGTCCGCCCCGCCCCTTGCTCACAGTCAGCCAATCATCGCCGTGAATTCTCATTTTACTGCATACTGCGGGCTATGGCTGCTGGACTGAGAGTAGCGGTTTTCTTCCAGATGAGAGACGGCCGTCGGGAGGGGCGCGCTCCACGCCTTGTGCGCTTACTACCCTGGCCTGCGCCCACTGCCACCCACCGTTTTTGGCCCCACATCACTCCTCGACTATCCTGCCTCCAATTTTCCAGAAATGTATTCAGATTTCCCAGTAATTCCAGTTCTTTTTCAGGATTTTCTGGAAAGTTAAGGTGGATGAAAGAGACTGGACAAAAAGTAAATCATTTGTGTTGAGCTTTCCAGTGCTTACCAGTTGAGCCTTGCAACAGCTCTATGCGGTAGGTATGTTATCCCCATTTTACAGCAGTAGATACTGCCTCAAATCAAGCACTTTGGAACAAAGAACGCCAAAAACTGTAAAAAATAAATAAATTGCTTAGAGAAACACCAAAAATTAGTGTAATACAATATATTGTGAGCCCGATTCAGATTGGGCAGCATCACCTGGGCGTATGGAGAAGGCACTCTGAGAAGGGGACAATGAAAGCCAGTTATATAAGTCATTGTTAATGTTAATTTCTCAAGAGATTGACAACTTCAGTCTTTTCTCCGTTTATCATGATATTGCTTATTGGTCCAGTTGTGAG